TGTATTTAGAAGTCTACCAATAACTAGTATAACTCATGTAAGAGTGGAATTACATGGACATACCCTAATGTTTTCCCCCAACTAATTATATTACTAGATTCTGGATCATATATAACTTCTGAGTAGTCTTCAGGAACAGCCTTATCCACAGCACAACACAATAATTCAAACAAGAAGTCACCAAGGAATAGTAACCTTGAATAGGGCCCCCATTACAAAAATGGGCATAATTGGTATACAAATGAATTTGTGCTAAAATCTTCTCAGATATGGCTGCCCTTGCTCCTCAGCTGGGAGCCACGAGTCCAGGAGTGTCCCCTAATTGTACACCAGTTCTGATCAGAGCAGCACCGCCCTCTCCACTATTAAGGATGGAAAGTATCCAGGATCTTGTAGCCCTCAAACTCCAGCCACTCCATCTTACCTGTTCCTTCCCATCCAGACCTCCCAAAACTTCCAGATATAATCCTGAATTTTACTGAACATTTTTTTAAAAATAATTTCCCTCCCTTGTTAAAGGTTTTGGTTTGAATGGAAAAAATATTAAAGCTATGTAGTGAAAAGTCCTGAACAAAGAAATATATCTATGGGGAACAGGGAAAATCATAAAAAAAAATGCATTTGGAAAATGATGCCATTAATGATAAATGATTAGAGTTTAAAGCCAGTGGGAAGACACAAAGTGATACATATGTTTGAAATTAGAGCCAACTTTCAATAAACTGATGCTGAACTTTTCAGTTAAGGTTACAGAGAGAAATGTAGAAAAGCTAGTTCTTAAAGGAGGATTTGGGGATCACGTATAGCACAAAGAGAAACATAAAAATGGCAAATACCATTTGGAATTAGTCTTAAAAAGCAAAATGATTTCTGCAATTATAAACACTATTAATAGGTGTAACACTTATAGGCTAAAATGTTAGGAAAACGTCTATCAAATGCAGATTCATTAAATTAACATTAAGCACAGATCTCTAGGTGAATCTTAAAGTTACTATTATGTTTCTTCCAGACAGTATTTTCTCTTTGTTTGTTTGTTTGATTGTTTGTTTTCTGATATTTTTACAAGGAGGATATGTTATTCTTTTATGTACAGTTTATCTTAATCATTTTCACTGATCCCATAAATTTTAGCAACTCTGTACAAAATCATTTTTTTTTCAAAAATTGCATGAAATAGTTGGAAGAAAAAAAATACCTTTGCTTAAACTTTTAAAAGCCTGGCATGCTTGTGGTACTACATACTTGGTATGCTGGCTTCAACTTTCTCTGGCATCTCCTGGACTATTCATCTGAATTTTACTTCTTCATATTGTAAATCCAGAAAACAGAAAAGCAAGCTGTGTTGGAGTTTCTGCAGCTGTGTGCTTAAAAATATTTAATGGCAACACTCAGGCAAGGAAAGGGGAGTTACCACCTTTGCTCACATTCAGATTTATACAGCCATAAATTTCACTGGCTAAAACCAGTGTCCAAAATAATTCATGATGACATCTTTTTACATCTTGTGTGTGCCTATGTGTACCTCAGTGTTCCAACAATTTCATAAAAAACGGTTAATCTTTGCAAGGATTAAATTTAGTGTTCTGTTTTTCAAAAGGGCAACAGTCTTACTGAAATTTCACAAGATTCTGAGTAGACTGCCTAAATAAGTACATTTGAGCTAAAGAAGAGTTTGGCGTCAGTGAATTACTTACGGCCTTCTAAAGATTTCTTTTCATGCTTTGCCAGAGCCCCAAGTACAACAAATATGCATTGCTACCATTAAAAACAACTTGACAACACGCAATAGACTTTGGATGATTTGATGCACAAAGTCTTAAGGAACAAGCAAGCATAATGGGAACTATGTATAACCCCAAAAGCAGAAGGAAGGTAAAACTCCTGGTAATTTCTGAAGTGGTCTAGTAGGTTAGCCTAAATGTCATTAATTGGAAGACTATGGTTACTGACACACTACATGCAAATTAGGCAGAGGCCACTTTTTGTAAAGAAGATCTGTTTTGAAAGAGATCCTTTGAGGCATAGAATTGTAGAAAAAGATGTATTGGAGATAGCTTGTTTTTTAAGTAAGAGGTTGGCGTTTTTTTATCGTCCTTAAATGTGAACTTATTTAATTCTATGTTTTAAAAATGTGTAATGTCCCTTTTAAACTTTGCAGGAAATTGAAATGCAGTTCTCCAATTTAAAAGGAAACAAAGTAGTAGACAAATTATAGGTAATCCTCAACTTACCACCACAATTGAGCCAAACATTTTTATTGCTAAGTGAGACAATTGTTAAGTGAGTTTTGCCCCATTTTACAACCTTCCTTGCCACAGTTGTTAAATGAATCATTGTAGTTGTTAAGTTAGTAGCATAGTTATTAAGTGAATCTGGCTTCCCCATTGACTTAGCTAGTCAGAAGATCACAAAAAGTTAGCCAGTTTCTTCCTGGTAGCTATGCTGCTCGGTAACAATGGGATTTCTTCTTGTTTCATCATGGATGGATGGATGGATGGATGGATGGATAGATAGATAGATAGATAGATAGATAGATAGATAGATATAGATAGATATAAGATATAGATAGATATAAGATATAGATACACACACACACACACGTACACACATTTATATTTCGAGAACTGTATACTTTCGTTCTATGATTAAACATTTCTCTTGTCCTTTCAGACAAAGCAATATAGTTGAGTTCCCTAAGGATCCTTATTTATCTATTGTCTTGTTCATATTGGTCACCATTGCTCTTCCAGGCCTCAATAACCCTTAAAATATCTTTCAGGTTCTAATGTATATTTCCGAATCTATAAGCCCTGGTTCTTCCACAGACATTTGTTTGAGTTTAGCAGAACCACTCATCATTTATTTCATTTCCTCTAAAAAGTAAAAACAAGAAAAAAAAGTTCAATGTCAATTTGTGGTCATACATTCTCCTACAAAGCATAATGCTTAGTAATTTTGCAACTGCAACGTATTTTTTTTAAAAAAGCAACTCAATTTGAAACATTTTGGTTTCCATGAAAAACCATATAGTCATTCACTGATTATAGCGATAACGTGAATAGTCAATGCTATAATCTTCCTACATCACATAGGAGAGGTTAATGGATTAGCTAACTAATACCATCAAAAAAATGTTGCAATGTACTAATAACCAATATCACCATGACTAAAACAAAGCTACTTTCTAAGTTCAGCTTTCATAGCCAAATGTGTCCAGGATGCGATGGAGGGAAATGATGGCGAGGGTTAGGACAAATAATATAATCCCTTCTCAAAAGTTCTGTAGGAAAAAAATTTCCCAGGCTTTCTACATGGAGAATTTCCCACAATTTAATTGAGCTTTAGGGTAATATGCCATCTAGTGGCTCCTAATAATTTGAAGTTCCTAATAGTGATTGATCACCACCCAATCTGGAGAGAGAGAGAATGGGGGGGAGGGGGGAGAGAGGGGGAGAAAGAGAGGGAGTGTGTCAGTTAGTGGTCAGAAGTCATTTGTGGAACCATTTTGAATAGTGTATTTGAACAGTGGAGGAAGAAAAGTACAAGTTGATGAATCTACATGCTTTGTTTTCTTTTGATTTTTAATTTTCCTGCTATAAATGTAGATCATAGATAGCTGCACATTTATCATATGAATTGTATGTGCAATTTTCCTTACTGTGTACACTTTTTGCAAGCAAATTAACTGATCGCATTTTAAAACAACTTTTATAGTTATATATCTGTTTGTGAAAATGTTTTTCTAATAGGCTTTCCTTTCAAATTGGTGAGCTATTTTGAAAAATTCATTTAAATTCTAAATCCAAACAGATCTCATTGTATATCCTCCCTTAGAGCTCTCTCTATAAACTTTCTGTACATTCAAAATCACATTCTGTCAAAACTGATCTCACAAAGGGTGGCAATTAAGGTTTATTTATATGTGTTTACATACAATGAGTAAATTGGTCTAAGCCTTCCTGTTAACCTAATTTAGATTTGTGTAATTAAGTACACTTCAAAAATGCCAGAACAAGACCAAATATCAAGGAAAATGTTTTGACCAAATTCTGCTTTCTCTCCACTATCTTCACTTATTCTGACTGTAAATGTCAAGTCATTTAGAGTATACTGTGTGCTTTTTGAATCACTTCAAATATTAATTTCATCCACTGTAAAACAACAACAACAACAGGCAGTCTGTCCAAAAGTCTACAAAATCTCGATAAGGCTTTTTTTCCTGCCTTCTGAAAGACAACAAACTAAATTTAATGCTTAGAAATGTTCGATTGCAGTGTGTGAGTATAGAAAGCTAGACATATCCATAGAGGAAGTAAACCAGGTTTCAATGTAAATACTTCCTGAATAATCATCTTGTGGTTACTTGATTTTCAGAGTTTTTCAAATTCAGCTCACTCTTAGACAGAATGATAGTAGAAGAATATCCACTTTTTATGACTTTCATATCAGCTTTCTAAACAGATGTTCTAATTGTTGAGTCCCGCCAGCGACTGCAGAAGATTCAGACAGTGAGGAGGTTGGGGAGAAACCAGTCCTGGAGTCTGGGGAAGGCTCTGACGAGTGCTCTGCATCAAAGGCAGGGAAGGGGCCAGGGCTATCTGACAGTTATCAGCTGCCTTTGGAGTCGGACATCAGTGAGGCAGAAGAACAGCTGGAGACTGTTCCCAGTATGCACATGCACAGAGCTGCCAGAAGAAGGGAACAGTTAAGAACAAGGGTCAACTTGGAAGTAAAGCCACAAGTGGACAGTGAATGGCCCCTCCCAGAGGGAATAAAAGAGGAGCAAAAGGGGAGTGGGGAGCAGGAGACAATTAGTTCATTTGGGTGAAGATCTGTTCCTGCATTCTTGCCAAATATTGTCTGCTACAGTGTGGCATCTAAAAGATATCGGCCTGGCAACTCTCCAAGCCTGATAAAGGTCTGTAATTGTGAAATATCTTGAAAGACTGTTGGCCCGGACTTTGCTGGAGAGGAATTCACTGTAAACTAAATAAAAGGAGTTTATCGGGACAAGGAGTCGTGCTTCGTGCTGTTGGGGAAGCCTAAGTCAGAAAACTAATCTTTGTGAGCAAAAGTAAATGCCTGGTACATAAGAGCCAGTAAAGTTGTTAGAAGAATCTGTTGTGATTAAAGAGAAATAGATATTTATGCAAATGTCCTCATGTTCAGTGGAAAGATTGGTTTAAAGTTGCTGTCATTGCCATTCACTTTGAGCCAGTCTGATGTAGTGGTTAGGGTATCATACTAGAAACCAAGAAACCAAGTTCTAGTCCTGCCTTCAGAATAAAGCCAGCTTGGTGATCTTGAGAACATGAAAACAGTCATGGTAAACCATTTCTGAAAAAATTTGCCAGGAAAACTGCAGGAACTTGTCCAGCAGTCTCCAAGAATTGGAGAAAAAAATAAGTTACCATTCACTGTAATTAGCACATTTTGCCCGTACATACTTCTCACAGTTCAGATCTGATGCTGTCTTATGACGAAGATGAAAGATCATACGTGTTAACCTGATGAGAAATTACATGCTTTATCATATATTACGTTTTCCATCTGCACAAAGGTAGCATATGGCTCCACATCTTCCTATAAAACAAGAAAACATTTTGAGAAGAAAAGGCATTACATCTTTTGAATATAGTTTTAAATTTAAAAAAGGAAGCATTAATAACCCTGTCTATTTTTTAAATTTTATTCTATTTACATTGTTTATATTTCATTTATACCTGATGGGAAAAATATGGCATACTGCAAATCACATTTACATGGTTGGATTTTTGCATTACATAACACACTGAGATACTAATCAGTATAATTGGTTACTGAATCCATGTTTATAACACAAGTGACATTTTGGCTTCTCATTAAACATCCCACAGCCCTACAAAACTACACCCCCATACCTTATGTACAAGCAGTTATGTTACTGTACATATTGTGGGTAATAGCATACAAATTTCAATTTTGCTTCCTTCCTTCCTTTTTTTTTTTAACCAAAAGAGGCTTATTTTTTCTTTCATTCCTTTTTAATCCTAGCATTCTCAGATCTAAAAGCAATTTTGTTTGGAAAATTTGAAAGTATAGCTACTCTGAAACTGAGTTGTAGAGGACTTTGAAAATGGCACCTTACTAGAAGATACTGAAATATATTTTAAACGTAAAAGGTCTTCAGAATGTTCTTTTCTGTCACAGAGCTTTGTGTTACTAATGGCAGATTAACTAGAGTGGATGGTAAGCCTGGAGGAATAGGGAGGATCATTTGGGAATTAGAGACAAAAGTTAAGCCATAGATTCCTGAGCTGTGACCCTTTGCTTATTATCTAATATTGTAACTTGGTTCATTTAAAGTAAAAGTAGACCATAATTCTTTTTCTCTTTTCCCTCTTAGGGAGATGGTGCGTGTGTTTTTTATTTATTTATTTGTTTATTATTTATAAAAAGAGCAAAAATGTCAATGTCTATATAAACAGTGTGGGTATAGTTATTTTGAGTAATAATCATCATCATAACAATAGCATTTATCATATTAGTAGTCATCATATAGTAACAATGATACATCATCATAACATCGATAATAAACATATAGTGACAATATTGCTTATTTATATATTTAGTAAACCGTTTTTACAAAGTTAGTCATTCTCTTGTATTTTTAAAAAATCTAACTTCTGTTTCTGTGTGTATTTTATTTTGGAAGACAGCCCAGTCATCTAATTGAGTCCAGTATTACCATGTTAGAAACAAGTTTTATGTTTTTTTTTCATTTTTGATATGGAGAAAAGGGGAAAATTACAGCAATAGCACTTATATATCACTCCAAGGTGCTTTGCAGCATTCTCTGAGCAGTTTGGGGGCACTATGTCAGCATATTGTCCCCCAAAATCTGGGTCCTCATTTTACTGACCTTGGAAGGATAGAAGATTGGATCATCTCGAACCCTGTCAGGATTGAACTCCAGACTGTGGGCAAAGTTAGTCTGAAATTCTGTATTCTAACCACTGTACCACCAGGGCTCATTTATGTGTATGATTGATAACATGATTAAAACATTGGAGAATAGATTTATGTATGTACTGTGCCCACCAGTTTTGACTTACTGTGGTTCTCCTTTTCTAATAGAATACAGTTTTCATTGTTATGGCAGTGATAAATAAGAAATTTGGTTGCAATAGCTAATTGCTATTGTGGCATACTTTAAGCATAAGTTGTGGTAAAAGTGACAATGTTGATTTAATAACTAAACTGAAAAAAGCTGAATCCAGCATTCAGAGTTGATCAGGAAGGAAGTAGATATATTGAAGAAACTTCAACACATAACACTAATTAAGTGAATTAAAGCAGCATCTTAACAGCTTTCATGTACTAATTTCATGTTATTATTCTGCATTACATTTATAGCTTGTTCAAACTGTTTATTATTCCCTTTTTATATGCTGAGATGTAAAAATTAAATTGGGTTCCATATTCAAATACTGTCCTGCTGGTTGAAGACATATTATTAGGATAACTATCTGATTTGCTTTTTGTTTGTTGTAAAGGGCATTACTACTGATAATTGGTGATTATTAGTTATTAATGAGCAGGAAACCAGTGATTATTGATGAACAGGAAAACACTGGATGCAAGAACTTCCAAATTGGATGGAGAGAGAAAGGAGAAAAGTCAGTAAGAATCAAGACTGATATTTCATTGTCTACAATGAAAGAGTTAAAAGCTATTCTTTCAAATCAGATGGAGATTCTTGAAAGTAAAACAAATAAAAATGATGGCATTATCCAACAAAAATTGAAGCAAAGAAATGCAAAAACTGTTTATCGCAAACAAGGAAATACAGATATTTAATTACAAGAAGATTTTGGAAGGAAAAGCTTATTTGGTGATATGAAAAGGCAAAATGTAAAAATTATTTGAATTTTGATGGAGATGAATTACAATGATTCAAAAAATGTTTAGAATTAATTCCATTGTAGACCAAAGAGGAAATTTACATTTTTAATAAATAAAATGGCTGAAATGGCAAACTATTTGGTTAAGAATGAAAATATTGAAATTATTATCATGTGCTTAAAAAATAACATGTGCTTAAGAAACAAAGACTTAACATTCTTGACATCATATTTATAAAGCATAAACAAAAGTCTATGGCTACATTCCATTTGAAAGTATTTACGATGGGAGAAAAGTATTCATTTATTCAAGGAAAGATGCTAAACAGCAGGGAGCAACCTCAAAATCCCAATAAGCAAAATCAAGCTTATATAACTGTAATCTATAAAATACTCAAACTGTAAATTAAGGATGACATGGCTAAAACTAAGACATCAATAAATATTAATAACTTGAACAATTCATTTCACAGGAAGCTGATTCTTTTAAAGATTGCTATTGATTATTCAGCGTTGATTACTTGTTGCACTTATTTCCTTTATGAAACTTAGGCTGACAAGGCATATCAGATTCTGTATTTAAATTTGAAAGATGTTACAAGAATTAATAAAGGATATTTCGTTAAAAAGGAAGGAAGAATGGGAGAGAATATTAGGAAGAATGTTTAAAAGACAGCTAATAAACAAGGCAAAATAATTAAGTCTATTGTTTACTAAAATAACTGTAAGCTTGGGTCTTGTTGTTGCTTTGGAAAGGGCATTATCTTGCCAAATACTTGTTTCTGACTGGTGCCTACACTCCAGTACAAGTAGTTCTTGACTTACAACCACAATTGAATTTATGTTGCTAGATGACAAATTTGTTAAATGAGTTTTGCCCCATTTTACGACTTTTCTTGCCACATTTGTTAACTGAATCACTGCAGTTGTTAATAACACAAATGTTAAGCGAATATGGTTTCCTTACTGATTTTTCTTATCAGGAGGTTGCAAAAGATGATCACATGACCCTAGAACACTGCAGCCATAAATATGGGTCAGTTGTCAAGCATCCAAATATAAATAATATGATCATGAGGATGCTGCAATGATCAAAAGTATGAAAAATGGTCGTCAGTCATTTTTTAGTGGCTGTTGTAACTTCGAATGGTCACTAAATGAAGTGTTGTAAGTCGAGGACTAACTGTACATCTCTGACTCAGAAAAGGAGTTTGCATCTTAAGCCTTACAGCTTCCTTTCTTGTATCTCACCGTCAGTGGTTCTTCAGATAAGGCCTTTGAGACTACAAGTATTCTCTTGACTGAAACTGTATTGCTTGCAACTCACAGAACTGGATGTGACTCAGCATCTCCAGGCTTGGGTATTAGACGTGGTTGCCTACTGCCTGCCATAACTAGGGAATGGCACTTTGTTTTCAAGCCAAGAGTCATTTTTATCTGTTAAACTGCATTGCTAGACATTGTATTCCAAAAAGATGGCTAGGTCAAAGCATAAACAAATTGTGATTGAGATTACTTTACAATAAATCTAAGTACTGAAATTAATTAATAAATTCTTAAAGATATTTAATAGTTTTCTCCCCTGCATCTTAATATGATGACAATCCCCCAACAGTTATTGTGAACTTTACAATGCCAACAATCTTTTTAAAAAATAAAATAAAATAAAGGCTGGTTTGAAACAGATCAATTATTGTTTACTTGGTCTTACCTGGATGCTTTGTCCTGAAATTGTTTCTATATTTGTAGTTGCATTGATTTTTCTTTTGCTGCTATGACAGGAGGAGGAAGGAAAATAATCAGATCTCCTTCTCTCAATAAATGCCACGGCAAATGAATTTTGTTAAATAAAAAAATGCCATTTAAAATGCATTTCACTTATAACCAAGTATCTTTTCAGTTTAAGCATCCTTTCCTCATAAGAAAAGATGCAAAGGTTGCAGAATTAAAATGAAGGGACAGTTTACCACTTCCTTTGTAGATCTGAGTTCTAACTCCTGCTCTAAAATTACCCTCATTCTGCCATAACTCCTCCCCCTTTTGCTTTTACCCTCATTTTACATTTCATTGCACAAACAACACAGCAACATTTCAATGAAATGGTTTCACTACTGCAGTAGTACACCGAGCTGATGCTCATGGTGTTCCGGCAGTGTCTGCAAGGGGGTGGGGGAAGACCAGGCAGAGTGACATGATGCAAGCCCTGCCCCTTTTGTGTGGGTTCTAAAGGGGGAGGGGCTTATTGCAATGCTCTGCCTGCCATCTTGCCAATGCCTCTACTCCCACAAATGTTGCCGTGACCAACTCTGATAAATAATGAAAGAACCATGAGATGATTTAAGTTAAAACCTAGTATACTTACCTTCCACAGAACCTCCAGAGATAGATGGAAAGTGAAAATCCAAGTATTCCCAAAAGACCAGTAAGACAGCTATAGAGAATTATCATGATATAACTTTCCTTTTTTTCATTTTCATCTGAGAATTTATAAAGTGTGAGAAATAATAAGTAGGAGAGATTAAAGCCCTAATATATTAAATAAACCAAAAGGTGTCAGAAAAGAAAATAGAATGACTAATTATAATTTAGGTATATTCCTAGACAGATTTGTGTTTTCTAATTAAAAAGTTATTTAAAACTTTGTATACAAAGTCACACAAGACTTTGTATTCATTGTGAAATCTTTATTGCTTTAAGCTATAGGAAGTCATGGCAATAAATACAAATAGGAATGCAAATATCCAACCTTTCCACAAAAGTAATTGGAATTTTCAGTCTGTGCAATTTAGGCAAAGATGGAATCACTATCTAGCCACCCTCACTGTTTAAAGAAAATATTAAAAAGTATTTCTAGTATTAAGAGCATTCATTATTATTTCTAACTTACTTTCTGAAATAATTTCATAACTAGTACCTAAATCAATAGTTTAATAATAAGCACACCCTTTCCTCAATTCCCATGGCTTAATCAATTGACACAAAAATAACTAGAGAAAAATGGAAGTCTGTTTTATTAACATGCAAAAATGATTGAAGGAGGATCAGTCCAGTTAGAGAAAAACCATAGCCCAGTAGTAGACCGTGTGTGATGATAGGAAAGACCCTAAAAACCTTTCTCCATCACAGTAAACAGCACTGAGCTAAATAAGCCTGATATATTATTTAAAATGTCAGCAAAGAACAGAGACGTCCAGATTACTATAAACTGAATGTGACTTGGCAAGTGAAACTGATGATTAAATTTTACCTGATTGAGTTAAGATAAGTGATGTTCCCCAAGTTGGATGGGAGATGACGCATGTAAGCTTATCCCTATTAACATTTTTCATATTATATGTACTGGTGACGGTCTTTGTGCCATTTGGAAATATTTCAGTCACATTTTGAGAGTCTCCTGGTGGATTCCAGGATATCCCTGCAGCTGGTTTTCCTGCAGTGGCCTTGCACACAGCAGTGCCATTGGCATGAGTCAAGGATACTTGTGGAGATACTGAAATGAAATGAGACATATAAGAAATAATTAATTACATTTATCAAGCTAGCACCCATTTAATGTGAAAGACATCTTATTATCAGATTTCCAGTCACATTTGCTAATCAGTAAGCACAAGAGAGAATAAAACAGGAAAATACCCATTTATTTTCCAAGGAATGCACCAAATAACCTTGAGAAGTAGGGGTTATTACAAAAAACATGTATTTGAGCAATCAGAATTGCAGAGTTGAAAGGGATCTTGTAGGTCATCTAGTCTAATCCCCTGCTCAAGCAGGGGACTATACCATTTCTGACAAGTGGCTGTCTAGTCTCTTCTTGAAAGCCTCCAGTGCAGAGGTGGTATTCAGCAAGTTCTGACTGGTTCTGGAAAACCGATAGGGGAAATTTTGAGTAGTTCGGAATATCACCTCTGACTGGCCCAGCCCCCATTTCTTCTCTGCCTTCCAAGTCCCAGCTGATCAGCTGGGTCTTCTTTTGTTGCCCTGTACAGGAGAACGGAGCTAGAAAGCAGGTTAGTGGGGTGGGGAGAAAATGGGGATTTTACAGTATCCTTCCCCTGGAGTGGGGTGGGAATGGAGATTTTATAGTATCCTTCTCCTGCCACACCCGTCAACCCACACCCATCAAACCACGCCCGGCAAGCCATGCCCACCAAGCCACGCCCATCTATTCTCTGCCTTCTAAGTCCCAACTAATCAGCTGGGTCTTCTTTTGTTGCCCTATACAGGAGAACGGAGCTGGAAAGCAGGTTAGTGGAGTGGGGTGGGAATGGGGATTTTACAGTATCCTTCCCCTGCCACACCCGCCAAGCCATGCCCACAGAACTGGTAGTAAAAAATTTTTGAATCCCACCACTGTTCCAGTGATTAAGCACACACAATTTCTGAAGGCACTAAATTGGTTGATTGTTCTGTCAGAGAATTTCTCCTTATTTCTAGGTTGAATCTCTCCTTGATTAGTTTCCATCCATTGTTCCTTGTCTGGCCTTTGGGTGCTTTGGAAAATAGGTTGTCCCCCTCCTCTCCTTCTCTTCACTAGATTAGCCATTCCCAGTTCTTGCAACTGTTCTTTATATGTTTAAGCTTCCAGGCCCCTAATCATCTTTGTTGCTCCTCTGCATTCTTTCTAGAATCTCAACATATTTTTAATAGTGTGGTGACCAAAACTGGATGCAGTATTCTAGGTGTGGCCTTACAATCAATAATATATACACTCATGTTGCTGCCACATACTTAGTTTTGGATGAGTTTTTCTTTTCTTAGCTTGGTTTTCTGTCTGTGAATATACAAAAAAGTATGTGTTTCCTTCCTCCTTTCCATCCCCTCCTCTTATCAAGTTTTCCATTCTTGCAACATCACAAATTAATCATCAGTCAACCCTGTGTTAATCCCCTTGATCAATTGCAGCGCTGATAATAAAATTGCTTTATTGCTCATAAAAACCATCACGGAAAGCCTCTCCCCAGATAGTTGAAGGAAAATAGCACGAGAAAAGATGGTTTGGAGGTTTTACCAAATGTTCCATGTTTAAGCATTGCATGAGCAATAAAAGAATAATATCTGTGGGGTCTAGCCTTGCTTCAGGAAATTATAGACTGATAAATATAAAAGCTTTATGATCCCATATTCTACTGAATCCATGCTGTACCAAAATATTCTAAGAATACCTAGAGGAATTGGAATGGTACAGCAAGATTGGAACACTGATAGCATTGCTCTAATATCTCAGAGGCTGCTTCAAAGAAGAGGGAGCCAAGCTATTATCCAAAGCACCTGAGGGCAGAACAAGAAGCAATAGACGGAAGCTAATCAAGAAGAGAAGCAACCTAGAATTAAGCAGACGTTTCCTGACAGAACAATTAATCAGTGGAACAACTTGCCTCCAGAAGTTGTAAATGCTCCAACACTGGAAGTTTTTAAGAAGAGATTAGATAACCATTTGTCTGAAATGGTATAGGGTTTCCTGCCTAAGCAGGGGGTTGGACTAGAAGAACTCCAAGATCCCTTCCAACTATTCTATTCTATTCTATTCTATTCTATTCTATTCTATTCTATTCTATTCAGCGTGGTTAACATCTGTTGAAGAGTTATAGGAATATTGCATGTATGTATGTGTGTATGTATGTGTGTATGTATGTTAACATTTGAAAAATATGGAAGATCAAACTTTAAATTCTTTATGTTTTCAAAAATTAGCAATTCATTTTGCCAGGTGTTTAAATTAAGATAATAATTCAGAATAAAGTAAATAAATACTTCATAACAATCTGCAGTTATTCCTTCCCACTTCTGAAAGCAGAAGAATAGTGGAAGTTTCCTAGAAAATGCCTGGAAATGGGATGGCTGACTGCAAACATTAGCAATAAATGTAAACAAAGACTGTTGAAACACCTGAGAGAAGCCTACCATAATAAATGCCATCTTAGATTAATAATGCTGAAGGTACCACTGTGCCTTAAGCACATTAATAAAACAGGATATTACAAGAACAGGTACAAGCAAATGTATTAATCATAAAAATATATTTTATAAGTTTGCATTTTAATATTATAAACTGTTTTGAGATATCCTGAAAAATTACGTAAATGTATGAAAAAGGAATAGTTTTGAGTATAACAATCCAAGACAATAATTTTAAATATGTTGTTTCTTACCTGATAAAGATAGTTCATATTCATGATTTAACATTCCTTTAGCAGTAGCAATGAAACATCTATATATTCCTTCACTGGACGTTTGAAATGATTTTATCCGAACAGCAGAATCTTCTTCTGGTCTAGATACCCAATCCATGATGTCCTTACTGCAGTTTCTGGCTATGGTATTATTCTCTCTCTTAAATGATAAATGGCAATGTAGTCCACTGTTAAAGTTCACCTTCCATACTGTCAGATTATATCGTTCTGGAGGACAATGCAATTCAATAGTTGTTCCAAGTATTGCATATTTACTGAATTTATCTAGAAAGATATAGAGAGAAATGTTATCAAGAATTATTATAGATAAACAGGAGGTAAGGGAGATGTTGCAGACTAACTTGGCCTGGTAGTATCCACAAAAGATAATTTTAAAATATGATTTTGCTACTAGCATAGCAACATTTATTCACTTAAGGGTACCAATAGGCTAATATTTATTTGCTTGTTTATTAAATTGATTTATATGGCCACCCATTTAACAAATGAAATTCTGAGTGGCTAGCAACACATTTAAAAACAATGGTTAACAAATGGCCTAATCCTCCAGTGACCTCTGAGAACCCAATGTGTTATACCCTATCAGTATAAACTAAATTATGAAAAACATAGAAAAATATGAAAAGTATGAAAAGAGAAATTTAAAAAAAGAAACAGAAATCAAACTAATGTGAACTTACCTTAAACCATTCACTATACTTCTGTCCACTTTTCTATGCCTGCAAAACACGCTTGCTTCTATCAAATTGATGCACTGATTCACTCATAGCCATTTTCTACATTAGCCTTCTCACTCCTCTTTTTCTGAGGATCTCACCTACTCTATCCAATCATGGTTTTCTCCATCAGCCCCTTTTCTCAATCCATTCATTCTTCCCTCATTCATTTGCTTTCAAGTTCAATTATCAATCAATCCCTTTATACGGCCAAACTACTTGAATGTACTTCTTTTGTATTGGTCACTCACTTTTGTATCATTCAGCACACATTTATTTATGATATTACATCTTCTAGTTTTACCATATAACTAATTTTTCACCATCTATATATAACTTCCAAGTATCATTTCCTGTCAGAGACAATGGCCTTTGATGCAATGTGTCTAAAATTTCCTAAATATCATTCAGGTTTTCAGTAACAAACTTATTATCTTCATATAAGAGCACACACATTTCTTTTCATGAGGTCAGGAAAGCTGGAGCCAGAATGTGTTGTTTATCAATGATGCAACCTCTCTCCAGAAGTAAGGCTCATAATAGCTTTCCAAAAATCATCAAAGGCTAAACTTATACAGAGCATCTACAGGATATAATATTTCATCATCACCTCTTTTTAATTAGTTTTTTTAATTTTTATTGTGACTATTATTTTAAGACTTTTTTAGTTCTTTATGTTACAAAGGATGGGGCGTAATTTCTTATTTTTTTATCACAGTTGTTTTATTATTTGGTTTTGATTATGAACGATGTTTTTATTGTGTGCTATTTTGTTGTAATGTAAACCAATGGATGTTGGGATGATTTAGTGGCCTATGCATTCAATAAATATTCTCCTAACATTTTCCACAAACATTTATTTATTTATTTATTTATTTATTTTTATTGGAATTTATTTATTGGAATTTGATATCAAAAATAAGAGAGTAAAAATACAATGATAGGGACAATAGGCACGTTAGTGCACATATGCATGCCCTCTCTACTGTACATTCTTTATACATTTATCAATAAATAAATTAAAAACTAAGTTGGACTAGAAAATCCCCAAGGTCTTTTGCAATTCTTTTATTCCTACTTTTTTATAGCATGGGTTGGTTCAATAACTATCTTAACAAACGAAACAGAATATTTAACATAGAACAGCATGCTTGGCCTGCTAAATTAATAAATTTTGCATTACCTCCTACAAGCAGAATAGCATCCTTGAAGAACATCTTTGATCTCAATAAAATGTTTGTAAAATATCACACTCTTTTGAACAATTTCTCCTGATAGGGATAGCCCTATAAAACTGATAATATGAAAGCATAAATTTATACTGTTTACCGTAATGTCCAAGTTATACTACAAAACTGAATAAATTATTGATTATGCAAGCAGCATTCAGAAACTTATTTAACAAGGCACCTAAGGACAAATTTGAAAGTGGCTTCCAGAATCATTCAACTGGATATTGTAGGTTTTACATTAAATCGTCATGCATCATTAGGCATGTATACATAGCGATGCAAAGTCAATATGGCATGGGGTTTAGATTACAGCTAAGGTGATACTTTTTAATTGCTCATTGTAAAGTTCATAGCATAAACTGGCCATTTCCCATCTATTAACATAGTCTGGATGACTGCGGATATAAAATGTGTGAAGGAAGAACAATATGTACAATTCTGAACTCTGAGAGAATGATGGAATAAAAATATAAACAAACAGTAATATAAAAAATAATGAAGAAGTAAAATAAATTACTAAATTTATATATTACTATAACCTAGAATGTCTCTTCCTTTCAACATAATAAAGCAAGGGCCATTGCTTTAGGAACGTAGGTGTTGACAACTACTTACAAAATGTTCTTTAAAATTTGTTTAAATGTATCCCAGATCTTTTGCTAAATATCTTACTCCTTTGCAAAACAGAGAAGCAATATTCCAGGGAAAGACAACATTTTTACTTATTTTAACATGTTGAACTTACCAGATACTGCCATGGTCATCATAATAGTGAGAAGGATCCCAGCACCCCAAATCTTCATAATAAAATCACTGCATTTTGCTTTCATGGTTCACACAATTGTTTCTCTATTTGACCCATTCTATTATACAACTATTTATTGTTCTAATCAGCATCTTTTGGTGAACATTTTTAAAATTCCAGATGGCATTTCTCCTACTTTTAACATCCTTTCATTTCTGCAGCAACTGATTAACAATTTTGCTTCTGTCAACTGCCTTTGTACTGTGCAAGACTTCCTGTGCTTACAGTCAAAATGTGATCACTGAGGAAACTGATCAAGCATTTTTCTTATTTGTTCCCCAAACAAAGCTGCTGTCTTGTGAAGATAAGTTTTTCCAATAAAATTCAAAGAAAAAGAAGAAGGCGGCTAGCTGAACCCAGGCACTGTCTCAGAACAGTCTGCTTCAAACTTCTCTATTTGATCTATTTGATCTCCACAAAAATTTTCTATCATTCTTTTCATGTAAATTGAAAAGCTGTTACATAAGAAATTGGCTATGGCTGAATACATAAAAACATAGAAATCAATCATAAATTTACTACCCATTTTAAAAAAACATTAGAACAATAGAAAACAACTTAAACCAAACAGATGGGGAAGCCCAATATTCTCAAATTTTGATGAATGACTTGATTTACTGCCCCTACAATTAGGCAGAGTTAGCAAAATCTTCAGGCAAACTGATGCTTGAGGGCAGAAATAGCAAAGCCCTCTAAGGCTATTTCTCCTGAGCTTGTCTTCTCTGTTAAAGAGAGGAGCAGGAGAAGCTACACGACGTGCTCTAAGCTCCCTAGACTAGCTTGCTGCCTTGGGTGTGATGAAAGATGTTATGGATGGTAAAAATACCATACCATCAATTGTCTTAATCAAAATTGTCACTGTTGATCCCCTCCCCCCATCTTTACAGTGTAGTAAAAAAAAAATGGTTAACTGAACTTCTTCTTAAAGGAAAATAATAATGATCTAACTTCGAAACAAAATATATGGGACACATTAAAGGCATTTATAAGAGGAATAACAATCTCTTACAATGCTATGAGAAATAAAAGAAAGTATGCCCAACAAAGTAACTTACAACAAGAAATTAAGGATTTAGAAACCCAATTACAAAAGAACCCCAAAAACCAAAGAATACAGAACCAGTTAATAACAACTAAACACAAACTAAATTTACTGGAACAAGAAAAATTGGAGATTAGTCTGAAAATGACTAAACAAATCTACTTTGAGCATGCAAACAAGCCAGGGAGATGGTTAGCCCACAAACTTAAGAAAACGAAAGAAAAAAGATTGATACACCAATTAATGGATGAGGGGGGCAATATGCAAGAGGAGATAGAGAAGAAAAAATGGTTAACTTTTTAAAAAATCTTCAAGTTTCCCCAGTACAATATTTTGTAGTTTATGAACAAAAACTTGAAGTAGGAAAATAAAGTGTGAGAGGAAAAACAAAAATAAAACTAGTGCTTAAATTGGGTACTGAGGATGATTCTATGTTTTTGGTGGGTGTTTAAGTTCAAAACAAGTTTACACCAAAGAAATAACTGTATTTATTTCCACTAATGTGACTCAAAATGGTACAATAGTTTAGCATTTCAAAGGTATCCTTTGATAAAAATACATATAAATAGCTGATGCCACTAAATGGAAATTAAAATTAATTTTTATAGTTTCATTCTTGCCTATTTCTGATTCTAGTATATTCAAGTATGTTATTCATATGATAAAACTGTTGTGTAGTGGGCTTCAGTAGGCAAGGAACAGGCCAGCATAATACAACAACATTTATTGACTCTAAACTGGAACTGAAGAACAGCTTCCTTCCTGGGCTCCTGTGGAACTAGAAACTTGTCGAGATGGTTCTATTGTTCAGGAAAAGGTTTTTTTTCATTCTTCCTTATCATGATCTTTCTAGATCTAAGGCTGATGCTGAAGATGCAGATGAGATAGCATAACCTATCAGGAAGAATTCAGATACCTGAGGGAATTTTAGGTATGGACATTGATAGGTAGAATTGATGACAAGTCAAAAAGTGATGAGGCTTGAGTTGAAGTTGTGAATACTACATACCAAGGATCCAGGTGCTGCCCAAGTTCATTAATAAATCTGCTCCCGTATTCCTTACTACCTACTAAATTCTTTGCCCTAGTTATTTTTAAATAATAATTAAAGAACAGGGAGGAAGCATAATTTTTTTCCACAAAAAAAAAAGGAAAAACAGGTTGGGGCCCAGGAAGGAAAAAAAAATGGAGCCTGGGGGTGGGGCATACACACACCCAATCCCCACTCTGCTTTTTGCCTCCTGGGCCACAGGGAAGCCTCCTGGGTGAAGCAGTAAAACAGTGAGGGGGATCTCAGCACAGCTGATCATCAAAACAGCTGATCATCAGGAAGAGGTAAAAAGAAATACCTTAAGGAAAGACTGGGCCAGGAGAATGCAGTCAGCAATGTCAGGCATGTGCGCGATGTCAGGCGATAAGGACTGACTACGCAGGGAGGGGAGGGTCAGACGGAGAGGTGTGGGGCCAGCCAGGGGCACGATTTGCTGGTTCTCCGAACGGCGGAGACAATAACAATCGGTTCTATAGAACCAGTCCAAACTGGTAGAATCCCAACCTCCTGATCATGAACTATGAGTCTTTTTTTTTCCTGATATTTTGTTGAGTTTAATAGACCCCATGACTCCATGATTCTCATATCCCTCTACAAGAATCTAGGGTTTATTGAAGATCCTTTACCTTCTTCTTTCATCCTCACAGCATTCAGTTTAAAGCCTTCCTAATTAAGCTCACTGTCTTTGATCAAATACATTTTTATTAGTCCTTGTGAAGCACAACCCATTAGATATTACTTGCTCAAGCCCTAAGCCTAGATGGATATTATTTATTATTACACTCTGAGGCAAAATGGATTATCTGAGATTCCACTTTGCTGAAACCACAATCCTATTTTTGTTGTAGATTTTCTGACCAAAAGTATTGATGATATGGTTTCCCACCATTTTGTGGCTCAAAAGCACAAAAATTCAGTACAACCTCCAAAAAAGGCTTCCCACAATTAAAACAACCCACTCTATCCCAAACAGAAAAATCCTGGTTGTTTACATACATGCTCATTTTGTAAGGCTATTCTGTTCCTCTTTCACATCCCTTCCCGAAAACATCAAATATAGCCTTTAGCTTTTGCTAAATAATAGCTTTGATACTATTTTTTCCTAATCTGCATATCAGAAATCATTTCCATTTCCATCAACTTAGGATTGTCAACTGGCATATAAATGTCTTCAAAAACACATTTCTGTCTCTTCCTCCATTTTGGGAGGGGGAGGAATGGTCTTTGTCTTGTTGGTAAAGACATTCAAAAGTTGCAATAACTTAGCTTCAGTTATCTTATTATTACTGGCTGAATGAAGCCAAAAAAGCCCCAGAATTTCATGTATCTTACACTAGCTGGATACCGGTGCTTCTCTATGAAACTATGGGATCGGGCTTGATAAATTGACACTTAAAGCTTGAAAATTAATGAGTAGTTTAAAAAGTCACTGTTTTAATTAGTTACAGAGATGGTAAACTAAGTTTCTGTTACAGATTAAGACATTATTGTAAGTCTAACAACAATAAAATAGATGGGCTTAAGCCCGGGCTTAAGCCCTTTAATCCCACCAGCATCCCTGGCTTTTTGGTCTACGTAGCCAGGCTAATAACTTGCATAACATAGACTTTCAATTCCTTCCTCAGATGAATTGCTCAGGACCTCCTTGTAAACAACATTCCTGATTTTGCTCTCTGGCTAGAGGATGACCAGGCTGTCACATGAACTGACTCTGAAACATGCCACATACAACTGGCCATGGGAGAAACAGTCACTTCTCAGATGCATACCAGCCATTTTCAAAGTCTGTCCCTGTGCCTTATTGATGGTGATGGCGTAGCACACCTTAATGGGAAATTGTAGACATTTGAACTTGAGGTGATAGCCTGATGGGATCAAAGGAATTTGGGTGATGAAAACGGTTTCTCCCTGATTGATGCCTGGTAAAATTCTGGCTTCGATTATGTACTTGTACAGAGTCTTCAGCTGAAGCCTGGTGCCATTGCATAGTTTCAGAGGGCTTAGATTGCGTAACAGCATGATTGGAGTGCCAAACTTGAGGTAGAGGACATGAGTGGTAATCCTGATGGGTTGAGAGTGTGTAAGAACTCCACAGGATAATGTACAGCATCCACAACCTCCATCACCGAGTCCACAGATTCATATTTCACATGCTCAATGGACAGCTTCTCCAGCAGAAAGTTGTTGATGTTGTTGGCTGAGTTGTTTGTCGGTGTGAGAATAGCTCTTGCACTCCAGCCTGATGAATGTTGGGGTATATTCTGTCAGTCAAGCTGATCAGATCTCTCACAACATCACAAAGGTTACTCAACTTTTGCATCTCATTTGGAAACCAAGGACCCAGAGTCTGGAGGAAGAATGGAGAGGCATACACTGCAAGATTCTTGAAGTCCAGTGTGAAGTTTCCACAGTCTGTGTTGATTTGCAGAGCCATGTTATCTGCTGGTGTTGGTCCACTGTGCTTCATTAAGTCCAGGGTCAATGCAGCCGTCTACCAGGAGATTTTGGAGCACTTCATGCTTCCTTCTGCAGACGACCTTTACAGGGATGCTGACTTCATTTTCCAGCAGAACTTGGCACCTGCCCACACTTCCAAAAGCACCAAAACCTGCTTCAATGACCGTGGGATTACTGTGCTTGATTGGCCAGCAAACTTGCCTGACCTGAACCCCGTAGAGAATCTATGGGGCATTGCCAAGAGAAAGATGAGAAACATGAGACCGAACAATGCAGAAGAGCTGAAGGCTGCTATTGAAGCATCCTGGTCTTCCATAATTCCTCAGCAGTGCCACACTGATAGCTTCCATGCCACACCGCATTGAGGCAGAAATTGCTGCAAAAGGGGCCCAAACCAAGTACTGAGTACATATGCATGCTTATACTTTTCAGAGGTCCGACATTGTTCTATGTACAATCCTTGTTTTATTGATTGCATGTAATATTCTAATTTTCTGACATTGTGGATTTAGGGTTTTCATGAGCTGTCAGCCATAATCATCACAATTATGACAAATCACGGCTTGAACTATCTTGCTTTGCATGTAATGAGTCTATCTCATATATTAGTTTCACCTTTTAAGTTGCATTACTGAAATAAA